CACCTTTCTTGCCACTGTGAATCACTTCAGTTGTTAAGTTAGTAACACGGTTGTTAAGTGAATCCAGCTTCCACATTGACTTTGCTTGTCAGAAGGTTGCAAAAGGGGATCCAGTGGCCCCGGGACACTGCAACCATCATAATTATGAGTCTGTTGCGTCTGAATTTTGATCACATGACCATGGGGATGCTGCAATGGTTGTCAGTATGAAAAATGGTCATATGTCACTTTTTACAGTGCCATTGGAACTTTGAACGGTCTTTAGTTTAGTTCTCTTTTTTTAGTTTTTAGTGTTGTTTTTTTTAGTTAGGTCATGTGTAACTGACAGACTGGATGCCAAATTGTGATTTTAATATAGATTTATTTATTATTTTACTCTAGAGTTTTAACGGGATATTCATGAGTGTTCTTATTTATTCTAGTCTTAGTCTTTGACTGTAATAAACATAAACTAAACTAAACTTGAATGGTCACTAAATGAACTGTTGTAAGTCAAGGACTATCTGTAGAGTGACTGGGCCAAGGTCACCCAGATCTGGCTTTAGTTTCTAGCCTGATGCCTTCACCACTACAACAAATTGTCTCTCTTTTCTTACCTGAACTTCCTGAACTACCTGAACTACCTGAACTGAGCATGCCTGCAGAACTATTTATCCGTCCAGTTTACAGGCAACTTTGTTCATTTCCTGCCTGCTCTTTCCAATTAGTGCTCAATGCATCCATCTCTAGACAAAAGAGTAATACAAAAGATCTATCTATCTATCTATCTATCTATCTATCTATCTATCTATCTATCTATCTATCTATCTATCTATCTATCTATCTATCTATCTGATTTTTATCCTGTCTTTATTATTTGTATATATAAATTAAAGCAGGGAACATGCATAATACTATTCCCTCCTATTTTCCCCACAACAATCCGGGGAGGTGGGTTGGGTTGTGAGAGAGTGACTGGCCCAAGGTCATCCAGTCAGCTTTCATGCCTAAGGCAAAACTAGAACTCACAGTCTCCTGGTTTCCCTGAACCAATACATGAAACTGGCTCTATGCATTTAAACTGGTATTTTTGGTCATCAAGATCCAATATATAGGTAATCTTCAACTTATAACAGTTCATTTAGTGACCATTCAAAGTTGCAATGGCACTGAAAAAATGACTTACGATTGTTGTTCACACTTATGACCCTTGCAGCATCCCCATGGTCACATGATCAAAATTCAGACACCTTGCAACTGACTCATATTTATGACGGTTGCAGTCTCCTGGGATCACGTGATCATCTTTGGCAACCTTCTGACCAGCAAAGTCAATGGGGAAGCCAGTTACACTTAACAACCATGTTATTAACTTAATAAATGCAGTGATTCACTTAACAACTGTGGCAAGAAAGGTCGTAAAATGAGGGGAAAAAATCACTTAACAAATGTCTTGCTTAGGAACAGAAATTTTGGGCTCAATTGTAGTCGTAAGTCGAGGACTAGATGTATTTCTCTTTTTATTATTTGTTAGCTGCCCAGAGTAAATAGGTGGCATAGAAATGTAATAAATAAATAAATTTTGAGCAAAGATATATCAGTTGCAATAAATCCAGTTGGGTCAAATTTAGAATGTGAACAGGAATGTCACTGTTAACTACAGATGAATTATAGAAGTTAAGGACATTTTTGATGCTGGTATAGCTGAATGGTTAGAATACTTGACCAAGATGGAAAAGACAGTTTTAATCTCAAATCTAATACAGAACTTCAATAAAGCATATGAATCTAGAATAGTCGCCATTTCTCTATCAAATTCCTTCTTAGGGTTATTGATAGAATAAAATGGGAAGATAACTACACTTGTTTGGAGGGAAGCAGAATAGCTATGGCCTGGATTAGGATATAACCTTTGGCAAATAAATAAGAACAACCTAGGATTATAGAGCAGAATTCACAAGAAAAAGATCATTATATGCATGAGAAATTCATGGTCTCTACAGACCTTGCCAAATTACAGTTCTCATAAGTCCCAACAATTTAGCCACTGCAAAAGAATATTGGAAGATACAATTTAGCATTTGGGAGAAGAGTGTCATAAATTCTTACTCCTGGCATACACCAATGTCCATGCATCAGATTCAAGGTAGGAGCATGCAAAAGCTGGTACCATCAAGAATCTGGTGGCCCTAAAAATATCAGTACAATACAGCTATCACTATAGAAAATGACACCCAAAGGACACAAAAAGGGTGGCTTTCTCTAAGTAAAAAACAACAAAAGTCATATATAGTAAAGTCATCTATACAGTAAATTTATACAAGCATCTTTACAGAAACACTGTACTAATATGACAAGCCCTGATGATGTTATCCAGTTTGGATAATGAAACATCTGCAAAAAAACAACTAAACTTTTTTTCAAGGACCCCTCATTTTGACCCTGCGCTATAACTATTCTCCTTTATTAGAAACATTGTAGTCAGAAATGGCAGTGCTCCACCTCTCCCTGCACACACACACAATATAATACTAAAAAGATTTTAGCCATCTGGCAAACTTTCTGAGAATAATTTTGAGGTACCAAGCAGGAGGATATAATTATGGCTTCCCTGAGCAATCTCTAAACGATCAACATTTTGCAAATGGCGCAGCATACTTTACTTTTTGTTCTTTCTATTTAGACTGGGTACAGCTTCCCTTTGCAAGCCCCACTGGCTTCTGCTATTTGAGCATTATATTTCAGACTATGCTTTTGATCTCTTTATCTTTTATCCTTCATCTGTGTTCTTTTCTTTCTTTTGGAGTATGGCCCTTTTGTTCCAAGAAAGATCAGCAGGAATAATGCATTACATTTCCTCAAGCCCTTACTTTTGTAATTTTCTTCCTACTGAAAATTGGTCTGATACTCTTTGTCCTTGTTTAAATGACTTTGTAAGATCTATGTTTTTCTCAGATTTCCTTTGACTGGTTTTTACCCTCTTTTTATTGTTAAGCACATTTATCGAAATTTCTTGCTCTTTCCATTTCCACTTTTTCTTTATGATTAATGCAGTCTTTAAAGCTTTTGTTTTCTCCTGATTTTATAGTCCCTACAGACTCATAGAAGAATAAAAAATGAATTGTTATAATTATAATTATGGAAGGAGGAGGGAGGAGGAGGAGGAGGAGGAGGAGGAGGAGGAGAAATACCCTGATGTTTTTAACTAAAATATATACCGTATACAGGATCCAAAAGAATATGTTGGAAAATATTTTAGAGTGAATACTAGGAACATTTATTCAGCTACTCATCATATTGAGTGCAGAGACTTTATTCTGACTATAGATGACTATAGCTGCAGTTTTAGAACAGAGCACACTAAAATGAAGGTAACACATTGAGCTAAATTCTGAATCAGACTGGAAACAATGAGAAAAGAGCTGCTTTTCAGCCAGTGTGTAAAAGTTAAATTGCTGAGAACACTTAATAAGATCATAAGCAATTTCAGGAAAAAAAGAAATTTGAACAAAATCAAGCTGTCCTTAAAATAAAATCGAAAGGGATGTTTGTAACCTATTTTAAAATATTACAATGGCTCATTCAAAATATATGTGAAAGAAGCAATCCCAAGAGGATGCTGCCTTAGTTAATATGGAGAACCAACTACAGAAGGGAAAATACATCTTATATCCAAGTTATAAAAAATTTGATTAAATGAGAAGAAAAAGCATAAGATCTGGTAAAATAAATCTAGATTTCTGAACCTGATTGGCTGCTATCATGTAGCTGAATATTGTTTCAAGAGTGAACCTTTTACACAACCTTGCTGCCATATATAACCATTCTGTATTTTCCTACAGCTCCTTCCATCTGTATTCCTTCCATTACTGGAAATAATCCATTAAGATGGAGAAGCAGGGACGGGGCCAAGTATCCTAGACAGAGTTGGGGGAGTTAGGTGGAGGAGCCCATCCTCTAAAAACCTGAATGGTGGGGAAATAAGCAAGGGATACATGTGGAAGGCAGCCTCTTCTGATCTATCAAAAAGGTGAGGTTGGGATGGCTGCACAACGCAAGTCTTGTCTGGAGCAGCAAGGAAGACCAAATGCAAGTACCGCCTCCCACTGCCGCCTTCCCGCCACCGCCCCCCCACCCCCCCGCGGTACTTAATTCACAATACAAAATGGAGTGAATGGAGAGGTATAGCTTTGCTTGCTGGAATGGGGAAAGCCTATCTCCTCTCTAGAACTAAGCCCCGAGAGAGCGGGATTTATTTTTTTTTACAGTGCGGGCGTCCGGAGTTCATTCATTGGGTGACCTTGGGCAAATTCCTTCTGCTGCCTTGCGGATTAATGCTGAGCGTAGCACGAAAGGAAGAACTTCGCTCTCTTTTTTGCAAGGATCTTCCGGCGCTCGGAGGAAAGATAGGAGCGATCTTACAACTGCTCGTGACTAATAATAATAATAATAATAATAATAATAATAATAATAATAATAAATGCCAAATCCAGTCTGAACATCTGGCTGACTGTGCGATGATCCATAATAATAATAATAATAATAATAATAATAATAATAATAATAATAATAATAATAATAATAATAATAATAATAATAATAATAATAATAATAATAGTGCTGGTTTTGGCATTGGCCCGTTTTTCTGCTGCACTGCTCCCCTCCACACACACACACACGCACACGTTTCTCCGTGCCCTAAATGGCTCTTTCCCCCAGACAAGACAAGTCTGATCTGGTCTTGGTCCCTTTGCAAAGTGGTGCGCCTGGCCGAGCGACCCGCAGAAGCGTCCTCGGTGCGCGCCTCGCCGCACTTCTGCTGCTGCTGCTGCTGCTGGCAGTGGTGGCGGTGGTGGTGTCTGGCACGGGTCCAGCCTTATCCCGGTGTGCCATCCCCGCCCAGCACTGCAGCTCTGGTCATATGAGCAAAACCGAGGAGAAGGGCACTGTCCCCCTCCCCCCTCCATCTGAAGTCTTCCCTTGCACTTTATCTCCCACTCTTTCCCCCAACAGTTGCAAGGATGGCGATGGCTGACTTGTTCGCCGGCGAGGAGATCAAGAAGATGTTGAGAGCCTTTGCGGGTGAGCCTTTCCACGGGGCGGGAGGGAGGGATGGGAGCGGGAAGGTCCGCGTCGCTGGAAGAAAAAAAAAAAACAAAAAAAAAAAAGTGGAGCTCAGGCAGGAGAGGGAACTGGAGGCGCGGGGAGAAGGGAGAGAGCCTAGGCAGGCAGCCGGGAAGAGTCCGGGGACGAGTCCTGCGCCAAAAACTTCCTTGAGCGTAAGGAGAGCTTGTCCGAGGGGGGACGCTGGGAGGCTGCTGCTGCTGTGCTGCGCTAGCGGAGACCGCACATCTTATCAGCCCAAGGAAGAGCGCCCAAAGGAAGTTCTGGCTTTACCCTTCAGCCAGGGACACGCGAGATCTTTTGCACTGCAGCTCCCGCAAAGCCGGGCTCTCTACGACCAGGGCACATAAAAGTTGCCTTGCCCCAAACCTGGAGAAAGCAAGGTGGCCACGTTTTTTTAGCAATATTCTCCTCTGTTTCCCCATCTTTCCAAGAGTTTCAAATTCTTGCCATTGACTTGGTTTATTTTTTATTTGCTTTCCAGGAGACAGGTTTTTTTTTTTTAAAGAGGAAGGGAGGAAATCAATTACTTTCAATTAAGGGCAGAACGAAGACATGAATGGTCCAATTTCCTTGCAAATTCCCATAATTATCTGATGTTGGCACATAGTGATTGATTCGTTTTTGTCACTAGATGGGGATTCTGGACACCATAGATGCCCTCTTGTGACCATGAGCTCAAGGGGCAGAAAGGTCATGTTAAAACACAGGGCCAGGTTCAGCTTATTCTACTTCTTCTGGGAGGGGGGGTTGAGGAAGGAATCCACAGTGGTCTGATGCAAGAAAGAAGAATGACAAGCTCCCACACATTGCCAGCTGCATCAAAAAGGTTCTTTCTCCAGGTGTTGCTTCGCATGCAGACCAGATTTGCTGAATTTCCTTCTATCAAAGATCTCTTCTCCTGCCTTCTTTGAGATCTGGCCACTCTAATCTCTCAAATTATCGCTTTAATGGATATGTCTTCAATGTATATGCTCCTTTGATATTATAAGTATTGCTGAAGCATTCCTTGGTTTGCTTCTGTTCTATGGACTTTTAAGTCACACAATTCTCAGCAATGGCCATTGGCTAAGCTGATTGGGAAATTCCATATAACTTGAGTGTGCCCAGACTGCAGATGGATGTACCACTGTCAGGTAATACCAATGGGCATGGCTGAACATAGAACTATCTGGTTTAGCATTATGAAGTCTGGTGCCCTCCAAATATATTAGACTGCATGGTCAACATTGTCTGTTTGGCATAGGCTTCTTTTCCTCCAAAATCTGGAGTAGTTTACGTGGAAGACAAATCTGGATTAGTTTACCTAGAAGTCTCCTTCAAGCAAGCCAGTGCTATTTCACCCAAGTGTCTTCAGGGCTCTTCTCTTCTATGGGATTTTATTTTTCTCTTTATTATATTTATATCCTGCCTTTTTTTTTCTTTTATACACTTTAGGGTGTATACATAATGTTCCTTTTTCCTGTTTTCCCCACAGCAACAATCCTATGAAGTGGGTTGGGTTGAGGGAGTGTTTGATCCAAAGCCATCCACAAAACTAGAGAGTTACAGTTTTGGTCCAGCACTTTAAACACTGTCCCAAATCAGCTTTCTGGAACTGTCTCTCAAACTATCTGATATCATACAGTTGAGAGACAAATGAGCAGGTCTGAAACTTACAAAATCCACTTTATTTTTTGTAAAAACCCTACGATCTATGAATCAACCCCAAATAAAAGCATATCAGCTTCATGACTAGACATATGCTTGCAATTAAAACAATTTTTAATCCATGAATTTATTTTTAGTAACACAGGTGAATTCACAGTTTAGTTATGGAATGGTTTTCTTCATCCCCTAAATTGGGGAAGAAGATCCTGTTCATTTCGAGAGGCAGAAATCTGATCATTCCACCAGAAAAAGAGAAATGGGTTTCTATGGTCCAGTCCTGGGCTAATCTCTGCTTCTCTGTATATATTTGCTTAATGCAAGTAACAGACTAAATTGTGTCCTTTCCCCTTTTAGTTAAACACTGCAATTTTTGTGTGATTTTGCTGTGACCTTGGTAAATGCCCTGAATGAAACAATAGCAATCACACAAGGAAAGTGTGCCATAGAACAGATTCCTCTAGGAGTGGACTGATTTCCAACTCACATCTTCCTCCTCTTTCTGTTCATTGATTTCCTCTAAATTTACATGCAGTTCCAGAAAAAGAAATCTGTCCAAATGAAAGACATTGCCAATCAGAGCACTTCTTAAAGTCACTGTATCAGATTTCCCCGTTACCTCTCCTGGATGTATAAACCAAGGTGACAATTATCTCACTATTTAAATTGAGCCATTTAAACTCTTGAGGATTATCATCAACATTATTATTGTTGTTCTTACTGTTGTTATTGTGTGAGGCGTGTGCATGTGTGTGTGAGAGAGAGAGAGTCAGAGAGACAAGCTCATGTCATGGCTGTGATATAGTACAAAGCCTGTTTTATAGTCATCTCCTAAGTAATATCTCATCGCCTCCCTGCACACCGTGAAATAATTTATACAAAATATCCACTGGAGAAAAGCTTAAACAAATAGCTATTTGTCAACCCTCTTTAATTCTAGCCTTCCCTTCTGCTTAAGATGTAGACAGCAATTTTAAAATATGGAAATTAAGGAAGCAGTATTCTGCACTCTTGATTGACAATGGGAAATTCTCCCAGGATTTTTTTTTTTCTACTACAGAATGATGGTTAAAATATCTATTGCCTTGTCTTCTCTTCTCCTAGGACTCATCATATACTGATCTAACATAATATTCTTACTTTCTCATTTTCTTGAAAGTACTACTTCTTTTCTTGTAGAACTCTGCCAATGCCCTGGACATCCAGTGGACCTCAGAAAAATTCCTCTCTTGTTCTCTGGGCTATAACCAGGCCACTGAACTGCTAGATCCTGTATCCGTCTCTGCCCCCCACCCCCAAAAAAGCACCCCTTAAATTCTTGGCTTGGTATTTAAAATACTTCTTTCTTTACAACCTGAAGTGTCTTGAATCTTTTGGGTGAAACTGTGTGAATATCATGCAATCATGAATATATTAATTTCCTGTATTACACTGAGTTTAGTCCTCATTAGCAAAAGTTCACACTTAGCTCTATTAGGCAGCTGGGACATATCTGTAGACTGAAAGGGGATGGGAGAGAGAGAGAGAGACAGAGAGATGAGAGACAGAGAGAGAGGAAAAGAAGTGATTATCTTTCAGCTTCTTAGGCTGGTTTCCTGATCAGGTCCTGAAATGTAGCTGAAGGCAAATAAGGTCACCTGGATGACTTTGGGTCAGTCAGCCTCTTTTGGCAAAGCCTACCTCTCAGGATTGTTGCAGTGAGAAAAATAGGAGACTAAAGCATTAATTGTGGTACCTTGGGCTTTATAAAATAAAGGTGGAATATAAATCTATTAATAATTATAGCAACATTGCTACATCTGGCTTTGGACTTAGTGGAAAAGCACTTGTGGTACTTAATGGAAAAATAAGTAAACAAAAAATAAAACAAAAAGGTGAAATGTTGGCTGTAAATACCATGGAGCAGAGATCTTTACTGCAAATGGTACAATTATATAAATAATTTAGAATAACATATGCCTGGTCAATAGACAGTGGGTTCTTACAATTCCCATTTTAACCCTACCTTAACCCTTTTCCTTCTTAAAAACTAAAGTTACATATGCATCCTTTTTGGTTTGATGTTCCCTACTGTGCTTTCCAAAATACCACAAAAATAGTCTTATTATCTCCATTATGGTTATGCAGTGCTTCACAAATAATTTGGAGATGGTGCTTCTAGCAAGACAGAACATGAGAATAGTATTCAGTAGACAACAGAATTGTCTGTAATTCTTTAAAGCAACTACATCATTTCCTAGGCTCATTTTCCCAATTGCAGTTTCAATTGGCATGAGGATGTAACTGCAACCTAATAGTCTCTTTTGTTCACATAATGTTGGCCACATCTAATTTGCGGGGCAATCAATTTGCAGTCATCCCTTGGCAGTCCCAATTAAAAGCAGTTTTATTTCATATAAACTGACAGGGTCCTGCCATAATAAGATAGGTACAATCCATGCCTGTGTTCAAAGCAATTAGATAAGAAGTCTTGCTTATACCGTTGTCACAAGTATGTATTTATCTACACACATCTATATGGTCATCTATTCACTATCTAGTCCATGCTGCTTTCCAAGTGAATACTCACTATATGCTATGTAAAGTACTAGGTATTCCTAAAAATAATAAAAAAGGAAGAAAAGCGAGGAACAAAATGAATTTGTGCAAAGCTGAAATGGTACCAGGCTAGAAAGCAGGAGATGGTGAGTTCAAGTCCCACCTTCCAGCTGGGCGACTTTGGGCCAATCACTTTCTCTCAACCACACCTACCTCACAGGGTTGTTTTTATGAGGAAACAGGAGGAGGAAGGTGTGTTGGACATGTTTTCTGCCTTGAACTATTTGTAATAGAAAAAAGATAGGAAACAAATGAACAATAGAATGAATGAATGAATGAATGAATGAATGAATGAATGAATGAATGAATGAATACATACATACATACATACATACATACATACATACATACTTAGATTACACACAGCAGCAGCAGTTTCGCTAGTTACAGTCATCTAATTTTTGCACTCTTCCTGCCAACAGATGACCTTGAGTTGAGGATGAATGGACCATCCATCCATCCACGAATCATAAACTTTGTTGTTTCCATTGCCAATCCCTATCCTGCTTCCACTGCATCTGTTTCAAGTCACTGCCAAATGCTATTTGGTTATTTATGAGCATGCCAATAATTAAAGGCAAGGTTAATAGTTATTTGCTCTATCTTGCCTACTTCCTGTTTCAGCTGGTAGGAAAAGATACAGCAATCAGGGCACACTAAGAAGAATGGGATTGGTTGGCTTTCAAGACTTTGCGTAGGCTTGTCCATCCTAGCTTTTCTACCAGTTTTGCACAAGCTGGGCATCTTTCAGGAAGGGAGGGAGGGAGGGAGGGAGGGAGGGAAGGAAGGAAGGAAGGAAGGAAGGAAGGAAGGAAGGAAGGAAGGAAGGAAGGAAGGAAGGAAGGAAGGAAGGAAGGAAGGAAGGAAGGAAGGAAGGAAGGAGAAACAGCCCTAGAAAGAAGGGAGGTTTGGCAAAAGCAGAGAGAGAATGCTGGATAGTGACCACAGGATTCTCTGCACTTCCCAGTACTCCCCATATATACTTATGATCATTTCTGACAGTCGGATAGGGCTGTCTAGATTTTACCTACTTTAAAACTGTGGTGAGGACAATGTCATCTTAAAGGGACACACCTAATGACAACTTTAGTGCTTTTCACTCATAGCCTGGAAATGAGCTAAAGGCAACAAAGCAGAACAACTTACTGTGCTAAGTTGCTGCTGAGCACAAAGGCTGCAAGAGTGGACTTTTGTCACATTAATCATTCCAATGAATATGAATTCCATTTGCACGGTCTCTCCTGTATGTACAAAGTAAGTAGATGTTTGAAGTAGCCATTACATTTGTAGATTTTATGCTCTGCTGTAATATCTTTACAATACTAACAAAGTCATATCAGCCATCACTTCCTTCTCTTTTCACTTGAATACATGTTCCACCATAGGATTGCTATTGCTCAGCAGTGGAAGCAATAGATCAGAGATGCGAGAAATTTCTTGTTCGTTGTACATGAGCTATATGATCACTGTATAGGAATACCAGATACCACAGTTCTGTTCTCAGTTAAGACATTATTTACATAAATCTCATTTATATAAATCTCTCTATTATTTACATAAATCTCATCCACCAGATAGTATTTCTCTCTCTGAGTCTCCTAACAAGTCCATGCCTGGATCCCATTTTCAAACACTATAGTCACAGAATGGGATAACTCACCGTGGCCAACTTGCAGTGGAACAAGAGTTACACTAGTATCAAAAAATGGTGGAATAGAATCATTAAAGAAAGGATGCCAAATGAAATGTGAAGGACAAAAATTAAAATAATGTTTATATATGTGCATACAGATCAGCTTTCTGCAATCTGTATGAGAAGTTCTGGTCCCAATGTATCTGGAAGGCACCAGAATAAGTAAGGCTGAAATGGATACTAACATGTGGTCATTTTTGGTTACAATATTATTTACATTTGGTGGGTGAACTATCTCCACTATTTTATTTACGATTATTGGTTCAAGCTGTGATGGCACTCATTAAATCACCTGACGTTGCTTTCCCCAAAAAATGAACAAACATGTATCAATTAATTGCTCCTATACTGTGAAAATGAATGGACCATGTCTTCTAGAAAAGGAAAAAAAATTGCTCATGCAAGCCAAATTCTGTTCATCTTCCTGCAGCTACCAATTCTTTTGACTACAAGAAATTCTTTGAGGTGTTGGGATTGAAAAAGAAAAGCCTCCAAGAACTGAAAATGTTTTTTAGCATTCTGGATACAGATAAAAATGGCTATCTTGAACCCGGTGAAATACAGTAAGCAAAGATTAATATTCCTTTCATAACATGTACCAACTGAAATGTGCTATATGCTAGTAATGTGGAATACAGGTTGATATTTTTGACCCTGGCTACTAGCAGAAAAATGCAGGCATAGTTGATAAACTTCCATAATTCTAGCCATATAGAAAGTATACCCTGTCTATACTACTCTTTGTCACTAATAAATCATTAAAGAAATAAAATCAGAATGGAATCTGAATCTAAAATTCTGAACTGAATTAAAATGTTATTCCTAATACTCTAGCTAACTTTCAGGGCAAGGCAGGGGAGGGCAGGGGAGGGCAGGGGAAAACAGTAAAGTTACATTAAAGACTACAACCTATGTTATACATATTGAGCAAATCATGGAACTGTCCAAGCCTATCACCATCCTGAACTGCTAAAGGAGAGGGAGGCATGCCATTTTGGGGAGCTCTTACAGTTAAGCTGATGTAGAATGAATTCTGCTGGTGATCATGATTTTCTATTTTTTAAACTAATTATAGACAGTTTACATGTTTTACATTTTTGCATATTGGTTTTTAACTTGTTTTTTTTACCTGTTATGAACCACCGAGAGTTACTTAGATAAGATGGGCAGACATAAAATCGAATAAATCAAAATAACAATTTTCCCTCCAGCCCATCAAACGGGTAAAATCTATTATTTATTTGTGTTGACTTTGAAACATTTCTCATGATGTTCAACTAAAATCTATTCTCCTGAAACTTAACTCCATTAAATCTATTCTGGTTTTAAGTCCATTAAGAGTCCATCTATCCTTTTATGTGTAAAAATTCTGTAGGGCAGTTTCAGCCAATATAGTTTGAATTACAGATATGGAGAATGGCTTGAAATAACCACCATAGCATCTGAAATTGTGCTTTTTCTAGTTGCATTCTCTTTCTTGTTAAGTACCTAACATGTGACAACATCCTTTCCTAGGCAAATTTAAGGTTATTCATTCAAGGTTTTTTCCCCTCTATAACACAAACATACATTAAAGAGAAAGCACGTACCATAAATCTAGATAAGTCAGAGAGGAAGATGCTGAGGGTGATGGGTGGTTTAGCTGACTAGGAATTAATGGCATCCTGTTTCCCCTTAAGTAAGTGGATGGCTTAAACATAAGAATATTCCAGGAATATTCTTCAGTTCATGAATGTGGCAGAAGTATACTTTATCGTCACACCACTTTGCATTCTGCTGTAATCCATTCCACTTGAACCAAAGGTGATTTTTCAAAAGGCAAGTGGACTTTTTTTATTTTTTTATTTGAAGATGTTTTGTTTCTCAGCCAAGAAGCTTCTTCAGTTCATGAAGAATGAATGAGAAGTGAAACATTTTCAAGGAAAAAACCCCCAAGAAAGTCCAGTTGCCTTTCAGAAAAGCATCTTTGGGATAACCATGACTTGGATGATTGAGAATCTCCATAGACATTTCACTTGAATATCAATTTTCCATGAAGATGACCTTCAGGATAATTTAGAAATTTCAGGTGGTCCAAATAAAGGAGGGTGATCTTTATTGGGTGCTAACTTCTGCAAGCACAAGGATTTGTCCTATGATGTTCAGTTGCTGCCATTAATTCCAGGTTGGTCAATCATTAAAGTCCTCTGTTCTTTAGGTCTCATACACTGAAGAACCTGTCTCATTCCTTATATGACCTCCCTCCTCAATAAGCTAAGATATACATAAATAAATTTTCTTGGAAACTAGACTACCACAAATAAGCTTTATTTTACAAATTAATTTGATTTGTATAACTAAGCCTGAATTTAGAACAGACTACTTATACATGTCTACTAGATACATTACACAGAAGCCTTTCGTTCTTAATTTAAAATCCTTTTCATTCTGTCTGGATTTGCACAAGATTTAATTTCCATTACACATTTTAGTTCTGTTTCAATTTGTGTGGGTTTTTCTTTTGTTTCCTTCTGTTGGTCAGACATTCAGACGTTTCTTAAGATCTTAAGATCTAGATATTAGTTTTTATATTATCTCAGTATTCTCCCGAAAACTATTTTTACCATTTTTTGAAATAAAATAAAATTCTATATCTATATAACAAATATAAATATTTATACAACCATTACCTCTGGAATCAGCTCTTCTGTTCTTTTTCTTTCCATTCACAGGTTCATGTTGCAGATTTTTTCCCCCAATAGCAGGCATCTCACTGATAAAGAAACCCAGGAATTTATGAGTGCTGGAGATAAAGATGAGGATGGCAAAATAGGTATTGATGGTAAGTGTGCTGCCCTGGACATCTCAACTTTCGTACCAGACGTTCAGAGTTAAAGAACCTGAACTAATAATTATGCATTCAAAGACAGCGATAAAATCATAAGGTTGGAAGGGGCAGTTCAGGCTATCGAGCCTTACCTCTTGCTCAGTCCAGAAATCTAAATTATAGCATTCCCCCAAATACTATAATTTAGATTTCAGAGTATTTGAACACATGCAGTGAAAGGGTTTAACCCCTCTCTCATGAAATGGTTCTACTATCAGGCTGCTTCTGTGTCAGTAGATATGTATATGTTCAGTTTATCAATTACCTTAGTCAACAAAGTGCTGCTCTAATCCCATTTTCTCAAGACTAAATATTAGGCCTGCAAGAGACAGGCCAGGTTGGTTTGTGATGAACCACTTTGTACCAGAGGCAATGCAATTCCCTCTGAGGTAACATAATTTCTTTCAAAGAGATGCTTCATGTCAGCTCACAAATCTTCCCAACCTGATGCTCTCCAGAAATGTTAGGATTACAACTCTCAAAATTCCTGATTAGCAACAGTAGCTACAGATGGTTGAGAATTATAATATCTAGGAACATAAGAAGCTGCTTTGTAAGTTTTATCCTTGATCTATCTAGCCTAATATAGTCAAGTCTAACTTAGTGTTGCTAGATGGATTGATGTTTTCCCAATTCTATCTGGACAGTGTAGAAATTGAATATGAGACAACCTTCTGCACAGGAAATACATGATCTATCACTTACCCCTTGATTGCTGTGAGACAGGGAAAACAGTTATAAAAAATAACCAACAAAGTTGGCTGCTTCTGTCACAGCTATCTCTTCTGTTTACTGACCATTTGTTTCCTTCTCATCTTTATCATTCTTCCAGAATTTATTATCCTGGTGAATCAATCATAAAGGTTTGGATTCATCTGAATCTTCATCTATCATTTACCACCTGATTCCACTTGTTTGTATGGGCCTCTTTTGATCTTCACCTGTTCATCTATCTTGTTCAAACTTCAACTTTCTGCTGAAGTCCTGTAACACTGTAATTGTGCTGGAAATGCTCTTAAAATAATAAAGGTCACATCAATCTGGACTCTGTTCTCGCTGCTTCTCTTATGTTATTTTGGCATGAAGGGGAAGGGACACTGAGAGGATTGGGAAGGCATTATTTCAATAAAATATATTCCAAGTATGCCTAATTTAATCTCATCTTATCTTGTTATTGCTTTCTGGCAAGACTGATTTCTTTTTCCAAAACTTTCCTGCACATGCACACATACACATGTTCATAGGAACTTTACAAATCTACAGTGATGGCGGTTACAAAACTTCATTTGACAGCCAAATCCTTTAAATGAAATCACCACAATACTTTACAATATTTCTTACCTGCCTCAGATTTTGCTTATTTACAAAAATGTTAGGTGACTATTTCCCTATTCATATATTCAAGAAATTATGCATGTCTGGAAGGTACCTTATGCACAGCCTTTGCAGCTATTTCATCCAGAGGCAGAGAATAGCCAATCAGTTCTAGAACAGACAATAGTGCATGTCTACCAGCAGTACCAGTAAGTAGCCTGTATGGGAAACAAAATGATTCATACCACTTCCCCAAAATTCAGATGAACAGAAAAGAAATACTTTTATTGACATTTCTGTGCAACTAATACCATTCCTGCCTTAGGAGAAAAATGCTGCAGAGTTTATTCTTCCAAAGCAACAGAATTTTATTCTAGATCTTATCCATTGCAAGGGAAATTTTCATGTACAACACAACCATTTCTCTTGCTCCTGAATCTTGGCTATTCTCTGCAGCAAATTTATGACACGGTGAACTGTTGTCAAAAACTGAGACGTGTCTGTTATTTTCTCTAGTTATTTCTGCTCACAGCTGCTTGTGTCCTGGTCACCTCCTGAGTGGACTACTGAAATGCACTCTATATGGGGCTGCCCTTGAAGAATATTTGGAAGCTTCAAAATGTGGTACAAAGGGTGACACTGCAAACAGTTACGTGTGCCTCCAGAAAGGAACAATATGAGACCTGCTATGGTTGTTAGTTTGCTTCCAGGTACAATTAAAGATACTGATTCTGACCTTTAAAGCACTACATGGCATGGGATCAGAGTATCTGAGGGATTGACTCTTCCCTATTACGTCTACCTGTTCCATCAGCCGGGTAGGAAGGGCATGTTATGGGTCCTGTCTGCTAAGGAGTTTACCCAGGAAGTGAGACTTTTCTGCTGTAGCACTCGCCCTGTGAAATATCTTACCCTGACATGAGATTGGGCTCCCCCCAACAGATCTCCTAGAAGGCCCTTGGTTTTATCATCAGGTCCAGTGTTCCCTTGAGAATAGGAAGCTGGCAAGATCTTTGTATATGAGTTTTTAGAACTCTCCTGTGGCCTTATTATATGCATCTTTTATCATTTTAAATGTATTGTTATTGCTTTTTATTGTATGCTGCCCAAAGTCAGAGTCATGAGATGGGTGGCTTCTTAAATGTAATAAATAAACAAAGCAAGGAAGGAAGGAAGGAACCTCTTTCCAACCCTCACTCAGAAATGGGTGAATACATACCTATGAAAGTTTCGCCCGGACAGTGTAAAAGGCGATCCATTTTTAACTCTAACAACTTTGGTCCTTGTCAAAACAGCTTGCTTCCTCAGGATGGATTGTACTCTTTGTACAATGAAGTCCTGCTTCCTAGGTAGTGCAGCCTGCTTGCAGTCCTGTATAACTTTAGTTCTTCCCTTCTACTTTTGCTCCAGGCAGCTTGCATATATCTGAATAAAAAAGAACGGAGCTGAGGTTGTGTAACACCATGGTTATCCAACCTTGCCTGGGCTGCATTAAATGAAGGGGAATTGTCTTGGGTCATACAGTATATAAAATATAGTTAATGTATATAATATAATTAATGTATATACTATAGTTAATGTATATAATTAACACATTTTCCTTATATTTTATATTTTTATTGTCTTGTGGGGCCACATTACTAACTGTGCAGGGTCACCTTGGAGCCCACGGGCTGCAAGTTGGATACACCTGTATTAGAGTATGGAATAAGGCAGGGTTTAAATGTAGCAAGTTATGGATGCTATGGATACCATCAAGGGTTGGCAAAACTGTGTGTATCTGCCAGCTGTCGTACCTACCATGTGTTTGTTATTAGATCTAGGGCCTTCAACTCAATAAAAATAGGAGTCTGCAACTACTTGGCTCCTACTACTTGGATTATGGCAGAGCTTCTCCACTGTGGCTTCTGATCCTCTCATAGCCTTTACTAACTGGATTCTTCAAGAGGTTGCTGGGAGTACCAAGAGACTGTGATTAAAAAATAAAAAATAAACTTTTTTTTCTACTTTGCACACACTTTGCCTGCCACACAATGCTGGCAAGCACTTGCAGTGGTGGGAATTTTACATGCCACGATTCAGCTGCCAATCTGTCACTTTTCCGTTGCTGTAAACATTGTAAAACATGGATTGTCTAGGTCAGGGCTTTTCAACCAGTGGTACGGGTACCACCTGTGGTACATTGGCACCTGGCAGGTGGTACGCGACCATCCTAGAAAAGTGGTAGTGGGGGAGGGGAATGAGCTGAACCGGTGGCAGCATCATACAAGCCTGAGCGAGAGATGGCTGGAGCTGCAGGGCTGTCAGGGCTCAGCGGAAGCGCCAGGATCAGTGTCGCTTTCCAGCTGATCAATGCTTCTTCAGGGCTGTCAGGGCTTAGTGTAAGCGCCAGGATCAGCACCAGGCTCCAGCTGGATCTCGGCACTGATCCTGGCGCTTCTGCTGAGCCCAGAAGAAGCGCCGATCAGCTGGAATGTTGCAGCATCTCCAGGGTCTTGTGATTTACATTCAGATGCTTGGCAACTGATTCATATTTATGACAGTCACAGTGTCCCAGGGTCATGTGAAATGACCAAAACCTGCTGCAACCACCCAGCAGACGGGGAATAAAAACCAAACACCCCCCCACCCCACTCCCGCTGCCAATCCCCAACAGAAATGCTCACAACAATGAAAACCGGACAGGAGGAAGAGCGCTGCTGGGCGGGCAGGCAGGTGTCTTGCTCGGCTGTGGCTTGGGGGGCACTTTTTTCAGTGCCATTGTAACTTCAAACAGTCACTAAGCAAACCGTTGTAAGTGGAGGACTACCTGTTACTTTATCACTTTTTTCCTTTTTTGGGGGGGGGTCATCAAGTTTTTGACACCTTGCTAGGCGACTGGTGGTACTCAGATGTTGCCATATCCTAAAAGTGGTACAATGGGTGAAAAGGTTGAAAAGCCCTGGTCTAGGTTAGAAAGTAATTGTATTGTGACATTTTCATATTCCACTAGAGGAGAATATATGTAGATCAGGGTTGAACTGTGGAAACCCTGGTGTTCTCTGGGCTTGGTTGTTTGCTTGCAGACATTTCATTACCCAATTAGATAACATCTAATGATTGGTAATACTGCTTAGGTTACTTATTAGGGTAATGAAACATTTGCAAGCAAATAACCAAGCTCAGAGAGCACCAATGGTTCCAGAGTTTTTGTATTTTCTGCAATTTGTATGCAGAGGTCCCCTGAGAGTTGAACATTATTTCAAGGTTTTCTCTATGGCAAAAAAAATAATAAAAATGAAAAAAGCTGTTCTAGGGGGCTGTATGCAAAACCAAGGAGTTATCAGATTGCTGGACAACCAGGTGGACTTGGTGCAGGCTTCTGCAAATGTCTGAACAGCAATTCCAGGGAAACCTTACGTGTTATATTAAAGGTGGGGGGAAATGAAGTAATTTATCTTGATCTGATTTTTTTTTTACATCTCAAAAATTGGCATTTTAACAGGGGTATGTAGATTTTTTATATCCACTGTAACTCTTCTCTACAATAGTTCTAGAAATTCAGGTTATTATTGATGTTCTTCTATCACAAGATACTGGACAAAATCAAGGTATAACCTTGGAATAGTTTAGGTAACTGGGAATGTGGCCATTGAGAAGAGCTGGTCACTGCAAATTTTGCAGAACAAATTAAGATGAACGGAGTGGATAGGGATAGCTGACTGCATACCATCTCTCAGCTTGGGGGGGGGGAGAAAAAATTAAATTAAGACAAACTTCATCCTTTTTTCAGATTTAATTATTGTATTTACATGTAAAATATATTTATCCAAAAATGGATGATGTAAATATTAAAATTAATGTCACCTACCACTACAATATTCTTTTTTAATGCTTTCTGTTGCCTCAATTTAGAGAAATACTATACATACTAGCATGTATTTTACTGAATGCTGTAGTTCAGTTTCCATTAATTTTCAGCAATTAGTGGGATTTTGTTTTTTATGTCAGTTCTCTTCTATGAAATTCTGGGACAGGATGGGAAAGTATTAGGAAATAGACTCTGGATTCTATGGCACAAAGTACAATACATAGTACAAGGGCCATGATATGTCCTCCAGTTTAAAATAATGGCTAAAGGCTATCATGAATCAATAGGAGACAAAAGACATGTAGAATTCCATTGAATTGTCTGCCAAGAAGTAATTGCATTGCCCAGACAATTCATTTATCTGCCACCATATCTATGATGCGATATATGCACAATACAGAAGTTATCTGAATATTAGCACGTGATATATAATACTATTCAGAAATCATTACCTAAACTAGGGATGAAATCTATGGTGGAAACACAGCAATTAGTGGGATTTTATTTTTTATGTCAGTTCTCTTCTATGAAATTCTGGGACAGGATGGGAAAGTATTTTTATCTTTTCCCATGTTAAAAGCAAGGCATTTCTTACATAGTGATTTTGAAAGTATTTATGGATTTTATTCTTCCCGTACCATAGAAAAGCGTGCCATCCCAATTGTAAGTCGTGTCCTTCTAGGTATAATAATCTTTTGTGTCTAAGGGTTATCCATTCTTTTAACCATGTTAATGCAGCTGCTTGATAGTATAGAACCCAGTCTGGTAACCCAAATCCTCCATTTTCTTTCGCTTCTTGTAACATTTTCAGTCTTATTCTTGCTTTTTTCCCTTGCCAGATAAATTTCAAAATCGATGCATTTAACTCATCAAAAAAAATCTCTAATTTTATAGGTATTGTTTGGAATAAAAAAGTAGTTTTGGTAAAATATTCATTTTGACTGTCGCTATTCTTCCCAACATTGATAGTTGTAAATTTTTCCATTTTTCCAAGTCTAATTTAATTTGTTTTAATAGTTTAAGATAATTATCTTCTTTTAATGTCGCACACCTTGCTGTTAAGTATATCCCCAGGTATATCCCCAGGGCTCTGTTCTGGGCCCAGTGCTCTTCAACATCTTCATCAACGATTTGGACGAGGGGATAGATGGGGAACTCATCAAATTTGCAGATGACACCAAGCTGGCAGGAATGGCCAACACTCCAGAAGACAGGCTTAGGATACAGGAGGATCTGGACAGACTTGAACAGTGGGCGCTATCTAACAAAATGAAATTCAATGGTGAAAAAAGTAAGGTTCTACATTTATGCAAGAAAAACCAAATGTACAGGTATAGTATAGGGGGTACCTTGCTCAACAGTACTAACTGTGAGAGGGATCTCGGAGTCCTAGTGGACAATCATTTAAATATGAGTCAGCAGTGTGCTGCAGCTGCCAAAAAAGCCAACACAGTGCTAGACTAGGCATTAACAGAGAGATAGAATCAAGATCACATGAAGTATTAATACCACTTTACAATGCCTTGGTAAGGCCACACTTGGAATACTGCATCCAGTTTTGGTCACCACGATGTAAAAAAGATATTAAGACCCTAGAAAGAGTACAGAGAAGAGCACCAAAGATGATTAGGGTACTGCAGGCTAAAACATATAAGGAACGGTTGCTGGAATTGGGTATGTCTAGTTTAATGAAGAGAAGGACGAGGGGGGACATGATAGCAGTGTTCCAATATCTCAGGGGCTACCACAAAGAAGAGACAGTCAAGCTATTTTCCAAAGCGCCTGGAGGCAGGACAAGAAGCAATGGATGGAAGCTAACCAAGGAGAGAA